TATATATATATATTTTTATAGCAATAATTATTGTTTAATTATGAAGATTAATTAATTAACCTATTTAGTCGTAGCTTACTTTTATCGGAATAATGTGAGAAGGCGATGTTTCTAATGGAAGACCGGCGGCAGTAAGAATAGACTTCATGTAGGCGACATTTTTCTGATGATTCGTCCTCAATGATCTGCCCTCATCCGATGCCAAAATCTCGACGGATGTCAAAGCTCCGTATAGGACAGTAGGCGGTAGCGAAGTAGTAAAAATAAAGCCCGCTGCATAACTTCTTATCATATCTATCAGCTTCACGGAACCAACAATGTAGCCACCCACATTGCCAAAAGCCTTTCCTAAGGTGCCGGATATAATGTCCATTTTGTGAAGTACCCAATCCCTTTCGCCAATGCCAGCACCAGAGAAGCCATATAAGCCGACTGCGTGGACTTCGTCAATGAATGTTATCGCGCCGTATTTATGTGCGACGTCGCACAACTCTTCTAATGGACAGATATCGCCGGTCATGGAATGTACCGTCTCAAACGCAACAATCTTTGGCAGATTTTTGTCCACCTTAGACAGGAGTTCCTCCAGATGTTGCACGTCGTTGTGCCGGAATATATGCTTCGGCACGCCGCTATTTCTTATGCCTTGTATCATAGAGGCATGGTTCCCAGCGTCGGAGAAAACGTGACAATCTGGTAGAATTCTCGCTAACGTGAATAAGGTAGAGTCGTTGGCAACGAAACAGGAAGTAAAAAGCAAACCGGCCTCCTTCTGATGCAGCAGCGCCAGTCGTTTCTCCAACATCTCATGACCCATGGAGTTGCCCGAAATATTTCTCGTGCCTCCGGCACCAGTACCGAATTTGTCCAATGCTTCACGAACTGCGCTGATCACCGCGGGATGACGCGACATTCCTAGGTAATCGTTGGAGCACCATACCGTTATAGGTTTCTCACCCCACGAGTATTCCATAGCCACTGGAAAGTTTTCAGCCAGACGATTAACTTTCTTGAATATTCGATACGAATGATCCTTCTTCTTTCGCATAAGTTGCTCATGGAAAAATTCCTCATAAGGGAACTGCGCCTCCTCTTTTTGCTCCGTTGTACCTAGATTGATAACATCTTCCTCTATTGCTAAACTGGCTTTCTTAATAGCATCCCGTTCTCTGGATAAGAAGGGACACTGATTTTGTATAGACTCGGGAATCGGCTGAGACTCCTCCGACTTTGCCATTGTACTGAACAATCTTGACATTACTGGGCAATGTTGCCGGTAATTCATTATCAGCGATGATCCATAATTGCGGATGTAATTTGCAGACAAACGAGTCAAAAATGGACACGGCATTATTGTCAGAAGATCTAAAAGTATATTGATTTGCATAAGGGTAATTTGAAAGGTGACAAGTGTAATAAATTTTGACATATTTAAGAGATCATCCTGAATAAAGAATGCTATATGAACCTGAACAAGTCCTGTTCTATTCGTAGTAATTACAGAATTAAAAAAAATTTGCTACTATCATATGGTGTTTTTCATCAAGAAGCACAGTTATAATATATGGGTAACACAATGATCATTTCGTCTTTGTTTAAGAGCCATGGCACACAAAAAACTTAAGGCAAAAGATGTAAGCAATAAGGAAATCAACATGTTGGATTGGCTACTGCTTACGTTATAGCCTTACGAACTTTACTGTAATTGATCAATTTGCTTACTGTTTAAATTTTTTTGTGTACCATGGCGCTAACATTGACAAATAATATAGATTAAATGATTTAATGATTCAACATAACTGTGTCATCTGTGTTTTGCTGGAAAGCATTTATAAAATCATATATTTGACAGACATTAAAACAAAAAAATAATATAAAAGAATTTATATTGATGCAGCAAATAGGAATGCACTGGATCGTAAAATTATTGGATATACCGGATATGGAATATCTGATTGGATATCTAAAACAAGGCTTTCAAAAAGAAAAGGAAAGCAAAGGAAAAATAGCGATAATAATTTTCTTTATCTTCTCAACGTGAAAAGAAAAAGAGGAAAGATGAATTGTGCAAGAAGTTCAGCTGAAAAGAATAAAATTTTGCATTAATAATACCAAATAACTTTCAATATAAAATATTACCGATATTAAAAAACAAAAATGATATCCAGCTATCCAGTCGGATACTAAATACCGAATATTTCCCAGTGCATCCCTAAAATAAAATTCATACAGTATATTGTGTACCATATAGGGTGCCTCACAACTACCGCATTTTCTCTTAAGAAGGTAATTTTGAGACGGAAATCCTAATACAAGAATGTCGAGGCTACAATAGTTTTTGAATTATAATTGATTAAAGATAGTTTGTAATTAAAAAACTATTATGATTTCGATATTTTTGTATTAGGATTTTCGTCTCAAAATTATCTCAAGTAGAATACGTCCTTAAGAGGAAATGCGATAGTTGTGAAACATCCTATATATTTTGATTCATCATTCGATTTATCTTTGATGCATGTAGTATGC